GTGTGTTCTGATGTGTTTGATCAAAGTTGCTTTGTGGTTAAATTTCTTTTTGCAGTATGAACATTCAGTATATTTACTCCTTTTTCTATAARAAAGTTTCAAATATGTCTGTTCACCTTCATTGAACAASTYTTGCACAGAATTATCTCKWGYMYCRMTKTYGTTGTCACYTGTGASCACTGTCAAATSTCCTGAGTAATTYCCATCTTCCTTCTGAMKTWCAYTTTCACTATTCTTATCATTATCTTTATTGGYACCRGAGTCTRCATATGATGCTGTYSTTTTGTTTCTATTCAWGTTGTTAKCATTGGTTTCTTCAAGAACTTTCAGCATTGYATCAATTACATCCATGTCTGTGCTTCTCTCKTCATTAMCWTCTTCAGTYTCAATRTCTAAGTTATCTCCAACAGCAAGTAAAACACCTTGTTCTTGCAGTGGAGATGTTTCTATGTGACTTATATCTTGGTTTGAAGTATTRACATAYATGGAAGWACAACCATTTTCACAGCCATCATCGTCTGTCTGTAYACCAAYAGAACTARYCTCTTTGTAGATAACTGGCTCACTAAACATTGCACAGTTCTCTYCTGTTGACTCCTAAGACAGAAAGTTAACAATAGCATAACATATTCTTATGTTGTCTTGTTTCCTTAGGAGGTTCTGTATAAGTGCATACATTTGTTTTTGTTAATCTTCTGGGGGAGGGGAGTATTTCAGTGATTCAGATTTGAAATGGGAAAGTGCTTTCAAGAGAGCAAAATCGTATACCCTTATCCAAGAAAAATGTACCTCATTCAATAAATAAATATAATATGAATAAATTGCTATTACCATGGTGATCCAATGTAGTGATCGTTGAGATCTTCGATACTCTTTTAAACAGTAGTAAGTCAGACAAATATATTTTGGTCAGTTAGAGCCTCTTCAGTGACGGTCACTGATCACCATTGTTTTGTAATAATTTCAAAGGCTCAAATATTTAAACCCAATAAAGTTGGTCAAACTATTGGGTCACATGATCGTTCTTTATATCCCGATAAAGCACCAATGTTTTATTAATCAGTTCTATATCAGATATATAGAACTGATGTTTTATTAATCAGTTCTATATCAGATATAAAGAACCAATGCTCAAGTTCATCAACTCTTTATCAAAACCCAACACCTAAGCAAAGTTCTCAGTTAAAATGTCACCATAGACCTTTTCTAGGTTTTAAATCAGTTTAATCATTGTGCAGACATGCACTTTAGCATAGACTAGCCGTTCTTCCATGTGGTATTAAAATGCTTTCAATGGTGGCACAATGCACATGCTCATTAGAAGTTTAATAATAATATATCTGATCAAAACTTTACTAACTCTTAACAAATAAATAAAAGTAGTTAATCACTAAACTGAGAGCTGTAAAAACTCGCAAATAATAGTTCTTAGAATTTAGTAATTTTAATAGAATTAAAATATTATGTTTTTCATCATACATTCTTCAGGTCCTTCAGTTCTGTTTGCCAGCTGTCACTTTTCAACTGTACACATCCAAAATATTTCTAGGCGGTCAGAGCTTTTTAAACTTTTTAATTTCAGAGAAGTGTAAACTTAGAAAATCTTACATTTCCAGTAGGCCACTTGTGTTCTCCTGTCACCTTGTTGTAAATAAACAGAGTCTGCCCTGACTTACACTTGTATTCTACCCAGTCAGTATCCATCTTGGGCGCCACATGCAGGAGGTACACRAACTGACTTCAAGACGGTCAACGATGATTGTCCGATGTTTAAGTTGTTCGGCTACTCGGTTGTCTCGACCAATCAGTATGGCACGCCGTTTGTTTCAATAATACTTCTTTTTACATAAATAAAACTTTTCTCCATATAAGTAATACTTGTTCGTGTGAGTAATACTTCCTTGTGAATATATGATACTTCGTAGCTTTTATAGCAAACTTTCTTTCAATAATAATACTTAGTGTACATAATAATACTTCGTGTGGTACAACTAAAACTTGTCAGAAAATAAGACTTCGAGCTACAAATAAAACTTGTAACGCAATCCATTCGACTCCAGTTCCCCGCGGTCAACATACGCCAAGACAAATCCAAGATGGCGGACATCGATGTCAATGTTTTCTTTGACGAATTTAAACGCTTTGTCGAAGATCTGTCCTTCGAGAAGTTTCAGACGAATCTTTTCACTGAAGATATCAGTGTTGCAGAGGAGCTCCTTGGTCTAGCTAAAAATACTTACCAAGGATTAGTGTTATTTTTCTGCCTGTTCAAAGAAATTTATGTTTCAATAGTGGATGCTGATTGTATAGAGTTCACGGAAACCCTAGTTGCACTTATCGAGATGTACAGTGATATGACACAAAGGATGGAGGAACGCTGTAATATGCTTGAGGAAAGAAACACCGATACAGGGTTCAGATGCCATGTTCTTAATGTTGGTGGCCGAGGGAGGCCACGTTTTGTTGTTTCAAAAAATCAAGTTGAGGGATTAAAGGACTTGGGATTTTCCTGGACGAAAATATCAACAATGATTGGCGTGTCCAGAACAACTTTGCATCGGAGGAGGCAAGAATTAGGGCTCAATAGCTGTAATAACTATAGTGAAATTGATAATGAAGAACTCGATGTTTTTGTGAGGTTTATATTGGAACAAACACCAGAAGCAGGGGAAGTGATGGTGCGAGGTGCACTTCGGGGACGAGGGATCTCTGTTCAAAGATGGAGGCTGAGAGACTCTATCCAAAGAGTTGATCCTGTGAGGAAGCAATACAGACAAAGACTGAGGATTCGAAGGAGGGTATATAATGTGCCTGGGCCCAACAGTCTATGGTATGATGCATTCTTGGTTAATTCTTGGAAATTCAAAAAATAATTTTGAGTTCTGGGGACAGTTGTAAAAATTAGGGTAAATAAAGTTAAACACTGGATAAGGATTTATTTGGTGGATAATAAGATGCTATTCTCCCTTAGCTCCATACAAGCCTTCCCTGGCTAGTTCATCATCTAATTTAGTTTTATTTATGGGACAGCAGGCAAAGCATAAGATTTATAATAAATTCTTTTTTATAGGCATTTAGATGGTCATCATAAGCTCATTAGATGGAGGATGGTGATTCATGGTGCTGTTGATGGCTTTTCAAGGACTGTTGTTTTTTTAAGATGTGGTACTGATAATGAGGCTCCAACAGTTTTAGAACTCTTTGAAGAAGCAACAAAGAAGTTTAATGTGCCACACAGAATTCGTTGTGACCATGGAACTGAAAACATAGATGTAGCAAGATGGATGCTTGCAAGACAAAACCATGTCAATAATCCTGTTATCACTGGTTTATCTGTTCACAATCAAAGAATAGAGCGCCTTTGGCGTGATATAGGTGATTCATTTGTAAGATATTATAGATGCCTATTCTACTTCATGGAAGAAAATTTCTTGCTTGATCCTGTTGATGAAGTGCACCTATATGCATTACACTTTGTCTATCTTCCAAGGATAAACCGTTCCGTTGAAGAATTCATTTTACAATGGAACAATCATCCTGTAAGGACTGAGAATTCCCTTTCACCTCTTCAAATGTGGATGCAAGGAATTTACAACTATGCGCACTCAAGCCAGCCAGCAGTACAAATGCTACTAGGTCCTACCATTGATCCCGAGGCATTTGGGGTTTCTGATGATGATCCAGACCCAGAATTGCAAACGAACAATCATGTTGAAGTCCCCCGCTCATCAATAGAACTGACTGATTCAGACAAAGCAGTCCTTGAATTTGCAATTGATCCACTAACTGACGATGGTAATCATGGCATAGACATGTTTCTTATGGCTGTCCATATGATAAAACATTTCATAAATTGACTATTGGAAGTACATGTACATAACTATTGTGAAGATGTCAATCTTGAGGAGTCCAAGCAAGAAAAGCAAAAAAAAAGTTGGCCGAGGGCAAGCGGGTGCCTTTGGAGGCAGTGTTTGCTTAGAAGGCTGTCATGTTTCAATGAAGTGTAGCTAGTTGCCTTGTTGTTTAAATTTCTAGAACTACATGGCATATACCATGTACTTTTTATTTGCAGGGTGCTCTCTCGAGTTTTGACTTTGTTTGTTTCATATCCTTAAAATAAAATGAACTTTGTTCAAAATAGAAAGTGCAGGCAAGACATTTGTATACAAAATAATGTTAAACACTGTCAACACACCTTTCTATATAGAATGAATACATCCTTTTCAACAAATCAACATTTATTAACATTTTAATAAAATTGAGGAAGATCATGCAAAGAAAAGAAGTACTTTAAATGTACAAATATCAATATTGAGAGGCCGGCTTCTCAACTCTCTAAATTAATGCAATGTTTATACTTAACATTTATTACAATGTCCTAATTTGGTTTTGCATGATATAGCTCAAGTGACCATACAAAACCAGTAAAAAAGTGATCAATTAATAATTCAGCTATGTTAGGCCTAAAGCCTACAACTTGTCATATATTCCAATTCAATTAAAGCTAATAATATCCAATGTAAATGTTTTTAAATGTCTATCAAATCTTATATTCAACTTCTTTTATAACATCTTAAACTTTATTTAAAATCAATAGAGTTTAAACTAAATTTACCAATGATTGGTAATTAAATTGTGATTACTTCATGTGAATTATTTAAAATATGAAAATTTGGCACCCCTAAGGGTTTCCTTTTGTATTATAACATTAACAAGAACAACAACATTAACATCAAATTGCAATACAAATAACTAGCCAGTCTGAGAGCTATTGTTCCTAAAAGATGAACAAAAAAATTCAGATGGTGATGTTATTTCTTTGGTGCTAACTATATATATGTACAATCCTTTCATGCAACATAACCAATTGTATGCAAGCTTGTGCAAACTAAATAAAATATTCCAATCGAAACAATTGAATGCAAACATAACATCTAACATTTGGAAATATTTTACAATTTTTATTCTAGTCCTTTTCAAAACAGAAAATCTACCAAAACTTTTCACTAAGCCCAAATAGGAAATTTAGTTCTTCATGTCTTAATGATCCTATCAGTGTGTATATATATCTTTGAATGGACATTGTCCACCAGCATCCCCTTTGAGCTTTTTCTCATGTTTGAAAATAAAAATAGAGTGTAATATAAGCAAAAGCTTATTCTGTATTATGGGAACTTATTCCAAATGGATATTTGAAGCCACCTCAATTTCCATATTATATGAAAAAGTTTAAACACAACCGCATCGAATGCTGGTGGACCATATGTCCCTTTAGGAATCATCCCAAGAGTATTATTTTTCATGTCTTTGTAGAATATAAGTTTGCACAGCAAGTAAACAAAATTCAAACAGTGTACCTAATGTCAACAGGTGTCAAGGGCAGATCCAAGGAGGTGATTAGGGTGTCTAGTCACCACCTCTTTCTAGGGTTCAAAAACATATTATAAATATATATAAAAATAGTAATTATTATTTAAATATTCTGTTTTGTTTCTTCTACTATTTTCCGAGCTCGGGAAATTAAAACCAACGTAGAAGAAACAAAACAGAATATTTAAATAATGAATCCTAAGTACGAAAATATTTTAACATAGTAATTATTAGTTAATTCTATTGAATAAAAAAAACATCTTACTCATCTTAACGGAACTCACATGCATGCACAACAAAGTTTATCCCCCACCTTTGTAAAATCTGGATCTGACACTGAGTATGCATGGATAAGCTGACTCTTAAGTGTTAGGTATAGATATGACTTCATAATACACAACAATGTTTAACTAAGCTTACTCTATGCTTTTCCAAATGATTGCCCAAAGCTCATTGCAGTGATTAGAATGTCATTGAATTGTTCAGTGTTCTTCATGTGGGCCATTGGAAGAATAATCTCCTTAGCACAAGCTCCAACCACTGGATAACATATTTTATGTTCTGGATTGTTTTTCAAACAATCATGATCAAAAGTAACACTCACTTTAAGATCTTCACCACCAAGAGGCTTGTGTTTCTGACCGGTCAGCCAGCCAAGGACACCAGCAGGAGTTAGGTCAGGTTTCTGAAAGACCACCTCTGTACTACCTTCTTCATAGGGAAGGGCTGCCTCCTCACACCCACGAACATCCTCATCTTCCATTCTGAAGAGAAGGTCCTGAAACATGTCCATGGCTGCTTCCTCAAAGTTTCGTCTTGAGGTGTCCCTAGGAGAGTAGTTTGCCTGAAGAATTGAGAACACATAATTTGCATCCACTACATTCGATGAAGATGTACTCTTTATAAACAACGATTTGCATATTGCAGGACAAGTTTTTATGATGTCTGCCAGACCAAATGATTGCATGCCATCCAAAAATTCATTCAAATATACCAGCCGCTTTGTTATAATAGTTATAGCCATTGTTGCAACAATCTCCTCCTTGTACTCATCGTTGATTTTCCCTGTGTAACCATGATCAACAATGGTGTCCAAGTGAGCAAGAACATCTTCCTTTACACTGTTCAAGAATACTCTGTCAGTCTCAGTCAAATGCTTAGACCAGTCAATATCATGAAGCTTTGGAGAGCCCTTCACCATTAAATCGTATGCACTTTCATCAAGAAAGCAAGGTGGAGGTCCACCCTGGGACAAACTAGCTGCTACTATTTGCCCACATGTTCTAAAATTCAGGTTTTGGACATGAAATATTGAGTCAACAGGGGCACCATTTTTAAACATTGTCTTCGCCATATCGGAAAGAACAAGGGTATAGAATTCGGCAGAAACTGCCCCTGAATCTATACCCTGTTCTCCACTGAAGCCCACAAGAACACGTTGGTTAAGGTGTAAAGGACTCTTTCTCACTGCCCTTTTCCAAATCTCCAGTGCTCTTTCTAAAGGACATCCTCTTCTCACCACAACATAAATTTGGCTGGAGCTATCCACATTATGAGATAGCGTATCAACAACAGAACGTGTATCAATAATGTTACTTTGAACACTGTCAAATACTCCTTGTTTGCTACAACAGAAATCTGCATGCTCTTCAATTTCAGACATGGGAAATAAGCCATTGCAACTTGGGCAATTTTGCAATGGTACAGGCATAGTTGAAATCTCCTGAGATGCAGACGTTGATGGTCGATTAATTACAGTAGGGAGTGTCATAGTAGATGCTGACGTTGATGGCCGATCACTTGCAGTACGGGGTGTCAAATTAGATGCAGACGTTGAAGGTCGATCACTTGAAGTAGGGTCGAGTGTTATAGTAGATGCAGACGTTGATGGTTGATTAATTACAGTAGGGAGTGTCATAGTAGATGCAGACGTTGATGGTGGATCACCTGCTGCAGATGTTGATGGTCGATGACTTGCAAGGGGGTCAGATGCAGAGTTTGAAGAACTTGCAATATTCGGCAAGAAAATAGGTTTCAGCAGGTCATTGTCATTGTCCTTGTCATCATTAATAACTTGGACGTCGTTCTTTTTGTCATTTTCATCATCTGAAAAGTCGTCTTCTTCATCATCGCTCACCCAGTCAAAATCGGTTTCCATGGGCGAGACGCACCTTAAATATACTGGACCTTGACCAGAGAAGTGTTTGATTACTCGTCCATTGATCGATTCCTGTGGAACGCCCGCCGCCACTATTTTGTTTCCTACAGACCTGACAATTTCGAAGTACTTTCCTTTCAAACGCCGCTGAAAGAACGATGAAAGTCTGTCGATGATTTCCGACGACGACATTTCATTTGTGAATTCGAATGCAGGATAGACCAGCTTTCGTACATACAATTCCTCTCTGGTCTTCCCACGTGGAACGTCACTCATTTTAGGATTTGGCAGGAGGATAACATCCTTCAATACAGGCGCAGATGTTGCTTTGCTCTTTCCCCTTGTAGATGTTGTTTTGCCCTTTCCTTTTGAGTATGGTTCGAAGCGTTTGCCACGTGAGCCTTGACGATCACAACTAGTGATCGAAGTTGAAGGAACTGGACTCCGACCTCGAGTGCTTGGGAATAATCTTTGTAAGGTTTCAGATATAGATGTACTTTCTTTATTATCTTCGTTAGTTGTTGATGGTCGAGAAGGTGGCATTCCTCTTGCACGAAGAGAATCTGCTAGCGAAGAGAGCCGGTTACAATACACACAACGCGTCACATGATCCTTATTTGCCGCCAAAATAGTCATGGCCTGTCACTGCCGGGAACGTGTCACACAAGAGGAAGCCCAACAGGAAGTTCTTTAATAACGCCGCTGACTCGATATGTCATATGTTGACCGCGGGGAACTGGAGTCGAATGGATTGCGTTACAAGTTTTATTTGTAGCTCGAAGTCTTATTTTCTGACAAGTTTTAGTTGTACCACACGAAGTATTATTATGTACACTAAGTATTATTATTGAAAGAAAGTTTGCTATAAAAGCTACGAAGTATCATATATTCACAAGGAAGTATTACTCACACGAACAAGTATTACTTATATGGAGAAAAGTTTTATTTATGTAAAAAGAAGTATTATTGAAACAAACGGCGTGCCATAAATCAGGATGATCGGGGTCGATCGGGGGAGATCGGGATGGATTCCTGTAACAAAACTGTAAGCCTCGCTTCAAAATAGAGAAAGTCCAAGACAGGAACCCCGTTAGTAAGCTTGGAGTTAGGAACAACGGAAAAAGGGATAATCAGGGAGAAAAGGTGAATATATATGTTATTTACCGGCTGGGAGGTCCGTATGGGAAAACAATGCCCGAGGTCTTGACAGTACGGAACRAGCGCAGCGAGGTATTTTATGCAACTTTACTCGCAGCATAGCTGCAGGATACCGTCGTAGCGCGCTAGCCAATCWCAGCGCGTGAATGACTAGTAGGATACTGGACCGAAAAAAAAATTGTTTACATTATAAACCATTAAAAGATAGATACATAAGTAAAAATATTACGTTTTAGAAAAAAAGCAGAGGTACATAACATAATGTACTCTCTGAGAAAAAGTTGATTTAAGCAGCCAAAAACATTTTTTCCAGAAAAATAAATCCTGCTCAAATCTCAAATTTTCTTTTTATTTTACCCCCACCCGCCTCAAGCTTCCYGCTCGTGACGGTCACGCTTCCTCACCTGATATTCTATTAATAATTAATTAAGCGACAAAAAGTCACATGCATAAATTCGCGAAGTAACACAAAAAGGCGGTGGACGTTGTTGATTGTTTGGTTCTTTGATTCCTGTGTCCGGAAGATTTTAACAATCCTTTGATCAATTGTATCTTTATTGCAGGTATGTATCACAGTGCATAATAACACAGGACCCTCTGCAGCTTTTYAATGGTTGTTGTTTTGATTTACAGGACGATATTTTGGCTTTAATAGCGTGTACTGTAGCATCTAAAACATGAATATTCTGTGGGCTATAATTTGGTTCATCGTGCTGTGGTTCATAGGATGGCCAATTGGGTTTTTCTGTGCCGGCTGGTACGTRTGTTTRTCACCTTTTGAAGCATGCATCGACGCTATCAAAGGACTTACTGAGTTATTGATGAGAGGAGTAAAATTACCGCTCGAAGTGGCTGTGCATATGGTCGAAGGGAAGTCTGGATGGTGATTCAAAGTCAACTTCCGATCAATTTGTGAACAATGTGAGTGCACGAATGTAAGAAACTCGAGTGTAATTTTCACCGTAGAGTGTCTCTYTCATTTATACAAATTTCTGAATGTTTTGTGAAGAATGAAGTAGAATAGTGTACATGTATGTAGTATGTAGACCATACCTCTCATTAGACATGTAAAGTGGTTATGTTACTATTGTGGTTTTATTGATTAAAATTGATAAGTGAATATTTGTTGTTGAGTAAGTTTGTTKGCTTCATTTTACTGTGTTTTTTATATCATATATACGGTGATATCCTTCCAATCTGTTGAGCTAGACGATTCTAGAAGCTATAGTTGAAGTTTACCCTCATATATATTTGCACGTCTGACAAACCGTAAACTTTGGGCAAGGGTTAAGTTCCAACCTCCAGGGTACTAACTATGGGCTTAACCAGTGAACTAATATTTGATATAGAATTTGCTGAGGTTTGTTGAGTTCTTGTGACCCTGTGGATCGTTGCCATAGGAGGCCAGCGTTTTATAAACGACAGTTCATGAAATATTCATCATTAAAAGACACATAAAATTCAATATTAAGCCCGGGGGGATACTCCCCCCAAACTTGGGTGGGGGTGTGCCGCTAGGACGTCAAAACCCTGATCCTGTTCCAGAGTATAAAATCGCTGAAAACGATATCCTGTTCCAGCGAAAATCCCGTACAAGCTTGCGTGTAGACCGAATTTTTACCACGTGAATTTTTACCCAGCATCAATAATTCCGGAATTAAACCCTGACCCTGTTCCAGAGAAATTTCGTTAAAATCGATACCCTGTTCCAGAGTAAAATCGCTAAAAACGATCCCCAGTTCCAGAGTAAAATCGCTGAAAACGATACCCTGGTTGGCGGCACGTCCCCGTATAGCGAATATAGGGGAGTACCCCCCCGGGATATTAAGCTAAGCCGGGCATGCCGCCTCTGGGAGTCCGTGAAATCACGAAAYAATAAATATGATAGATACTATATAATAATAAATAATAAGACTGAATGGAAATACTGTCGGTATGTACGATTGGAAAGTAGTTTGTATTTAGCTATGTTTTGTGTTACGATAGGTTTATTGTTATTTGGGCTTATTTAGTTGTAGTTATTTCTGTAAAGTACGCGGGCGTTCGCATTTAGAAGGATCCATGCTGGTAGTGTAGACACAGGCAGGCCACCCTTTTATGCAGTTTATMWAAAMRCG